ATCTTAGAAAATTATGTAGTTTCAGAATCTAAAGTTTGGGATTTAAATGCTAAGCGTAGCAATTAAAATTAACACAGTGTGGTTAGTGTTAAGTGAACCTATATAAGCCTAAGGGCACAAAACCCTAGGCCATACTCAGCCTCTACGTGACTCTTTTGCTGATTCTCTCCAGCCTTCTCTTCTCTCTTGAAAGTCTTGGCCTTTGATCATGAAAAGGGACCAAGAAGCCATCTTTGTTGTGAGTCTTCTTCTTGAGAGTTGTAAACACTAAGCTTGAGAGCATTGTGAAGGGGTGGTGGAGCTTTTTGAGTTGATGCTTGCTGTTTGTGGGATGTTTTTGGGGCTGTTTGTTCTGAGTTTGGGTTGTGTAGCCTTGTTCTTGGCTTCTTGAGCTTCAAGAAGCCACCTTTTGGCATAAAGGGACAAGCTTGAAGTGTATTTTCGTAGCCTTGTGAAGTCAGAACTGTGGGAGCTTCTAGTGAGCTCCAAGAGCACCTCCCTCTGCTGTTTTTGAGCTGTGGTATGATCACCAACCTTTAACTTGAGTTTTAAGGCTTAAAAATGGTACCTTGATGCACCTAATGACTAAAAGATGATAACTTGTTGTTGGGCGAGGCTTAACACATCTTGAAATGCATGATTAGGTGTTTAAAATCGGTAAAAAGGGAACCTTTAAGGGATATCTTCACGAAAATGCAGAAACTGCATTCTGTCGTGAGATATCCGGATATTTGTCGAACTGATATCCGGATATTGGATATCCGGATACGTGGTTTTGGGATATCCGGATATTGGATATCCGGATATGTGAATCTGTATATCCGGATATTGCATATCCGGATATGGACAGTGAGATATCCGGATATTCTGGGATTTCGCAGAACAGTAGTTGTGTTGTGCATACAGTAGGCTATTGGGGGTTTGTGGATCCTAGTTTGATGAAGTTGAACTTCTGTATTTAATGGATTAAGCCAGAATCATGGGATTAAGGGCTTGTGGCTTTGTTAGAATCTTTAAGACTTGAAAACGTAATGAAAAGGCGTTGTCTTTAATTTGTATGCATGTGGTACATGTTATTGATTTATGTTTGGTCCATATCAGATTGTGATCTGCTGTGATTGGACTTTGAGCTTGTGGCATTGGATAGCTAGCTTAGAGGTAAGCTTTCGTGTCCTCGGTTTAGCCATGTTGTGGTTCCACCATGTTCCATGGGGATATGGTATATGCATGTTGTGTTACATGCTTTTGATGTTTTGGAAATGCTGTTGAGCTATTATATGTTAGTGCCTTGTTGATATGCATGAAGGTGTTCCACCTATACGGTAAGCCTGAGTATGTAGAACATATAATAGGGTGAGGCTGTGGGTGAGGTGCAAGCGGTGTTCCTTGTACTACATGTAGGGAATAGACGTATTCCTACATTTCTCTGGCCAGTAGATAGTGATTACACACATGCCATAGATATCTGTTGCACTACATAGTTTTGGAACTGATAATGATATAAATGCTTTTTGAACTTATATTGCACATGTAAGTGAGCTTGGGGTGGAAGATCCTTGAGGACCCCTTGCTTTACTAAGATTTCTAGTTTAGAGATCTCACCCCACGTTTGGGGAATGCTTATTTCAGGGTCAGGTAATGTTGAGACCTCAGGCGGCAGGAGGCCGGAGCTGAGTTAGTTTGCTGTTACATTATGCTGCCTTGATTGGATGCTGGATTTGCATGCTGCTTTTATGCTTATAGCTTCAGTTTATGTTTTGAAGATTTATGTTGAGACTTGTTGTTTACTATGTTTATTTGGTGAGCATGGGGATTGTCCATGACACATAGTATTTTTATGTCTTGATTATGTCTTGAGTCTTTTGGAGTTGTAATAATGTATCAGGATATTTGTCTGGATTACTTGATGTAATGCCGTGATTTAGATACACACTTTATCTATATATGGAGGCATTTCAGTAGATGTCGTATTGCAATTTACATACAGGCGTTATTTTATGAAATTGATTAAGTAATCAAGTTGGTAATTGATAATGACGTCATAATTGAAAAGAAAAAGAACATTCCGCAATTTTTATTAAGCACCGCTTAATACGATGTAATGTTAATATTCCGGGTATACACGGGGTGTTACACTAATCATATGCTCATCAAACACAGGACATGATATATGCTTATCAACCCCATATCATATCCTACCATTATCCTATCTTGTCCACCAAACGAGCCCTAAATATAAAAGGAAAGATTTTAAGGATTTAATTAAATATATGATTGGAGATTCTAGTGAAGATTCCATTGAAGATATTATGAGAAATTAAAAGATATGATTTCATCACTATAAAAAGGCAACTCTTGGAAACAGAAAGGAGGCTAGAACATTCAGAGTACAGAGAAGCTTTTGCTAGAGATTGGAGAATTTCAGAGAGAGAGGAACTGAAAGAATTTGAGCACCATTGATTTCTTCTTCTTCTATTTTCTTTTATTTCTTTATTGTGTTTAAGCTAGCTATGTCTGGCTAAATTTCTTTTGTAGTTAGGAATATGGATCCGATGTAAATTCTTATTTTGGTTTAATTCTTTTCATTAATAAATCGTCTCAAATTATTTGTGTTTACCTTGATTTGCATATTTAAATTCTTGTATGATCTGGCCAACCATATAGGGATAAAGAGGGTTAGGGATCATAATAGACATATTGAGATCTTGATCTAGACATAGGTAGAACACCAATTCTTGCATAATCTAGACATAGGCTTGTAGGAATTGCAAACTTTTGTAATTCATCGCGCTTAAGGCTTAATCTAAAAGGGATTACTAGGACATTAGGATTCTGATTGGGTTGAAGGGTTAAAGAACTAAGACATTAGGATTTAACCAATTAATTTTTAAATGATGAATAGTTTGAAATAATTGAGATAGAATATTATTGAATTGTAATCAAACCAATTAAGGGGGATCGAAGGTGAAATATACCTAACTGCATTTTTATTCATAATTTCAATCTAATCTTTTTAATTAATTTCTTTTATTGTCATCTATATTAAATTTTTAATTAAATATTAGTTACATGTGAAATCACTTTTGGAATTGTCTAACTTAGATAAAAATGGGGAAACTATTGCTTGTAATTAGTCCTCGTGGGAACGATACTCTACTCTTCACTTTATTACTTGTACGACCGGTATACTTGTCGTGTTTGCAACAAGTTTTTGGCTGTTGCCGGGGATCGAACCTGGGTCGTCCGGGTGACAGGTGGAAATACTCACCAATAGGGATGCTAAACAAATCAGGGGCCTTTGGCTTGGCTCGTGAAGGCCTGAGCTTACATGTCTAAAATTGATTGTTGGCACCAGGCTTGGACTTGTATAAAATCTCGTTTAATAAAAAAGCCTCAGGCTCTAATTTAATAGCTCGGCCTTAAAGCCTCTCAGGTTGTCCTAGTATATTATTTTTTATTTATATTTTATATTTTTTATACTACTTGTAATAGCCCTCTCTTTCTCCTCAATCCATTTCACCCCATTTTATTGGTTAAACAGACTTTTTGAATGATTTTGTTTTATATTATGTTGTTTGGATATAAATTGAATTTATGAATATTCATGGAAATACTAGTTTTGATGATTGTATATTCTATTTGGATAAATTTTTGTTGTCTTATTTTTTTTTAAAAAGGCTAACAGACTAAACAATGCTTTTATTTTTTGTAAATAAGTCAGGCCACAGGCCGATTGTTATATTTATAACAGGTAACAGACTTGATCAGGCTGACACATTTAAACACAGGCTTAACCTTTTAAGACCAAAGCTCGGCTCGGCTCGGCCCGTTAACACCCCTACTCACCAATATACTACAACGACAAGCGTGATAGGCAGAAATACTCTTCACTTTATTACTTGTACGACGGGTATACTTGCCGTGTTCGCAACAAGTTTTTGGCGTCGTTTGCCGGGGATCGAACCTGGGTCGTCCGCATGACAGGCGGAACTTGAGAATAGGATCAAGCCAATGGTAGTACTCTTACAGTGATAGATTGAGTGATTTTACCCCAAACACTTGAACGATGAATGTATTAATTATCCTAGTGAGGGGACTCAAGTTAACAAAGTGATGCAAGCCTACAAAGAGTGCTCAACCATTTGATCCATTATGCTATTTATGGTGCAGAATGTATTAGACACACATGTAATTGTGATAAGAATACATACATGACAGCAAACACAACCATCCTTAAGATAATTTACAATGATCTCGATTTTCCTAAAATAGTTTTTGCTCTCCACATTAGTCATTCTCAATTTTCACCAAATTACAATTATATACGAAAAGGGAACCGATAGACCTGATCAAGAATTTGAAGGGTGGTGTTGCTGGTTGCATCATCGTTCAATTTGTAAAAGAGACTTCAAAGTGATGTCTTCGTCCACGCTTGGGGAGGAGAGAGAAACAATGAGAGAGAGAAACGATGAGAGAGAGAATAGGGTAAAAAAATTTGTTTTATGTGATAAATCTCCGCCAGTAGATGAGATTATAATCTAACGGTATTGAAAAGAATAGACAAGAGTGGACAAATTAAAATTAAGTAGAATAACACCTCCTTTATATATTATAATTTTAATTATAATATTTCTTATAAAATATTTCATCATTTTAATTTTTTTAATTTGAATATTTCGACTTAATCATGTATAATACTTTAGTTTTGCACTTTATATTTAAGTCAAAGGTCAATAACTCGATCAAAACATCTAAGCTAAACTAAATCTGTCTACAAATTTTCTGGGTTCCAAAATCAAAACCAAATTATATTGGAAACTGATTAACTGTTATTTTATTTTTTGGTACATTTTGTCTGATTATGTCTGAGTTATAAAAAAGATAAAATTTGATGTACTATTCCACGCCGAGCATTTGTCTGATTAACTGTTATTTACCCATAAAAGACAACAGACAAAAACTAACGCCCTTTCATTTTTTCATAGTCTCAACTCTTAACTTCAATTTAAGTACTCACTTCCTTTTGTTGAGGGTGCGTGAAAGATTGTTTGCCTAATTTTGGATTTGAACCAAAACAAGTATTTGACATTATGCTTGTGCAAATAAGAAAATAAATTGAACTTAATACTGAAAATTTGAGGATATTCCATTTTTTTTTATCCCACCCTTTTTTCTCTCTCTTTCCATCTCCAAGCCCACTTTTTTCTTTTCCAACTAAACCTAGAGAACAGGACCAAGGAAGCAAGAGGCTAACAAGCCATTGAAAATTAGAAAATCTCAAATTTTCCATGCTAAGCCTCTAGTCGGTGTGGGCTTGTTAGGGATGAAATTCCATTTCCATGTACACTTCGCTTCTCTCTCCCTCTGTACATTAACCCAAATTATTCTTAACAAAAAAAAGGAAAAAAGCTTCCTTTTTTTCTATCATTTCTTCTTCAGTCGCAAAACCCCATTTTTTTTTTCCAACACTAATTCTCACGAATCGACCCTGTTAATCCCAATTCGCTTCACCGACATGTTCCTAAACCCATCAACACCCTGAAAACACATCCCATTTTGCTGCTCCATATAACTCCTCACCTCCATCTTTATCATCTCATGCATCACCGCCATCAACTCCCCATTCAAATTCACTGCCCCCAACCCAATCCCTTGAGTTTGCAGTTGCGCCGCCGGCGTAGCCTGAGCCGTTACGTCGGTTACTGGCATCAAAGGCACGGAATTAGTCCCCGCCGCCGTCACCCGATTCGAAACTTCCAACGAGTCCACCCCCGGTAGTGACAGCGACAACGATGTCGGAGGACCGTCGTCATCGGAGGACGACGTCGTTTCCACAGGCGGCGGTCGAACCGGCACGGGCCGAAACACGTGCGAAGGAGACACCGCGACGGGAACGCTCGACTCGCTCACGTCCGATCCGGAGGGGCTACCAGGCGGCAGCGCCGCTCCGGCACTCACCGACCTCTTCAGCGGCCGCGGGCTGAAACCACCACCGGCGGCGGTTTGGTCGTCCATGATCATTACGCACTTGCGCTTGAGGGTTGAGTTCCAGTGGTTCTTGATAGCGTTATCGGTTCGACCGGAGAGGAGCCGGGCTATGGTGGCCCACTTATTGCCGAACCGGGCATGGGCCCTGATTATGGTTTCGTCCTCTTCGGGCGTGAAGGCCCGGTGCTCAACTTGGGGCGACAGCTGGTTGCACCATCGGAGCCTGCATGACTTTCCGGACCGGCCCGGAATCGACCTGCTGATCAACGTCCAGTTCCTGGGCCCATGCCTCTCCACCAGCTTCTGCAGGGCCTCGTCCTCTTCGGGGCTCCACGGCCCCTTGATCCGATCCATGTCCTTTCGGGTCATGGCCATCATGTTCTTTTGTTGCGTTAATTTTTGTTCTGTTGGTTTCTGATGAAGGGAATGGGAATAGCAATGGAGAGTTTGTAATTGCTGTGGAGCATTGGGTTTGCTCGAGCTTCCTTCCATTTTCTTATATCTGTGAGGGATTGGGGAAGTGGAAACCGGTTAAGGAGGTTATGTTTTTGGGGATTTGAACGTACCTTATGGCGCTATCGGTACTGCTTGTACCTGTAAAAGTGATTGCTTTCTGCTTTGGGATACAGCTGTAAATAGACACGCGTCACTTCTCAGCTGCTTCCCTTTACACAAGTCATACCACTTTCTCTTATTTTATCCTTTTAAATCCTTATTTTTTTTAATTAAAATATAACCATAAGCTAAAAAAATTTAAGTATTTTCAAGACTATATTGTTTTTCATAAAAATATTTATGCAGTTATTTCAGATACGTCTGTATTTATTTTAAAAAATGATGTCGTTTCGAGATTGAAACATTAAAAAATTATAATTATAAAAATTATAATAATCTTGAATAAATTAAAATTATAAAAATATTATGATTTTTGTTCCAAAATAAAGTTGATTGTAACTGCAGAAAAAAGCAAACTTATTATTTTTATTTAAGAATTTTTTTTTTTTTGCATTTATTACTCTGTTGTTGTTTTAAGAGAAAATGAAATTGATGCGATTGGGGCGAATTTGGGATGAGTACGTGAATGAAACAGTTTTAGAAGTTAACGTACGCTGAGAATCAGAAATCTGCGGTTTAAATATTATATAAAGTAAAAGATAAGACAAATAACGAAAAGGAAGAAAAAGAAAAAAAGAGAGATAACGATGATAACGGTTGGGTGATGATGAGTGAGGTTCCTTAGTTGCTTGAGTTTGACCGATGACTATTCCAGGCTGTAGAGCATTTCGTGAGGGATTTTTTATTATTATTAAAGTTTGGTCCTTTTCTTGGAAGGAAAAAAAACAAGAGAGAGAAAAGGGCCCCACCAATATGCTGATGTGGATAAAACGACAAGATCGGTTGCCGAATCGGAGCAAGAATCATTACTGCTTTCCTGTCAGTCCAGGCTGTATTATTTACCTGCTTCCATCGTCTTTATCCACATACACCTGTTGGTCACTTCTATTCTTGGATCACATTCCTCTCATCTTCCGCAATTCTTATGTTACATCATGCCCCTGTTTTTAAACCATGATTATTTATTATTTATTTGTCAGTTATGATAAAGTACTAGACTATTAAATAATAATGAATTAATAACTATAAAGTGGAGGATTAGGAGATGTATAATTATTAAAGCAAGGTATAGGGAACGGGCGAGAGATAGAGGTAGAGAGAGAGAGTTGTCGGGTAGGTTGGGTTATGGTATTCACCAATTCAAAATGCCAAAGATATGATTCAACGGATTCGTATCCAATCTCTTTCTGGTACCTGTTACCCCCTACCTACTACCTACTGTTCCCGTCTCCATGCACCATAATATTCTCTTTTTCTTTATTTTAATATATTTCTTTTACATACGCTTCAAAACTTAATTTTAATTATATATAAAAAAAAACTTGACATCACCATACCTGAACAACTGTGATACAAAATCAAAATATGTTGTAGACATTCTCACATAACTATTACAAACCCTAATTCTCAATTGAAATTATCAAATCAAACAATTGTGTCAATATGCATCAAGCATACGATAATAATGGGATTATAAGCGTGATTAGCAGAAGGTTGATCTCCACCAAACTAAATATGTCAGCAAATGTGTTTATTTTAGAAAGTATAACATTTTTTTATATAAGCCAAAAGAGAAAAAAAATTGTTTTCAAAGAATGGCCATAAAATGTATAGTTTTATAAAAGTTATGTCGTAGGAAAAGTGATTCTGTAATGTTATAGAGATTCATTTTGCGTGCCATAGTTTTTTTTTCTTCAAAAAGTATGGGTCTCACAAAATATTATGTGTAGGAAATTTTCTTGTGTCATGTTAAATAATAAATACAAATCCCTAAAATGTATAGTTAATTATTAGATACAGTTTTGACCAAAAAAAAATTATTAGATATAGTGAGCATTGGAATCTGTAGTGGATAAGAACTTGATAATGATGTGTATAATTACACTAACCATCATTTCAAATTAGCATTTTACAGCTGTATTTACTAAAGGGAAACATAAATTGGGTTTTTGAAGAGGGAGTTATCACTCATTATAGCATTTCTCGAAGATAAGTGTGTGTATGATTTTAAAAAATGTAAAATTATGTGATTTTAAATAAAAAAAAATAGATTATAGAAGAGAGAGTGAATAAAAAAAAATATGTGAATTCATCTTTTTGTGAAAGTGAAATAATACAAGTTATATCATTTAAAGAAAGGGTTTGGTGATTGTCATTTTAAATGACATAAGTTATGTCATTTTAGGAAAGAGATAGACACAGAAAAACGGAAATCATAGGATAGAGAATATGAGTGATTTTTTTAATTTACAATTCAAATTTTCTGTGTCTGTATCTCTTTTAAAATGACATAATTTTCTGTCATATAAGATGACAAACACTTTTCTCTTAAAAAAATAAACATTTTTTTTTTCTTTTCCAAAACAAGAGATACGAAAAACTGTAACTTTGTTATAAAAAAAAAAAAAAAAAAAAAAAAAAAAAAAAAAACTGTAACTTAACATTTAAAAAAAAAAACTGTTACTTAACACTGTTGAGGCCTTAGCGCAGAGACCCTTGTAATGTAATTATTTTTTTTATTTTTTTGAAAACGTTATTGTAATGTAATTATTAAAAGTACATAATTCACTCTTTACTTTAAAAATAATAATAATAATAACAAGTGCTTGGGAGATAAATTCTCATGTTCTTGTATCTATCGTGCTCAATCTAATAAAAGCATAACACTCATTAAATTGAATTAAAAATATAATATATATTCAATATTTCATATTGAGTTATTTTAATCATTTAAAATGATCAAATTAAACAAATTCAAAAAAAATCTCTTCGATTCGTATCCGCACTCCAACAGTCACGTGGGCGAAGATAACGTGATCGAGCGTGGCGCATAGCAGACACACGTGGCACTTGCTCCCCTTGAAGCGGCAACCTACTAAATTACCAAAGTACCCGTGGTTGTGGTGAGTTTATATTACATCAGATGAGCCCGCTCTACTCTAGATCGTTTAATCTGACGACGTTGTCGATTCATCTTTGTCTTGGTTGCAGTGGAGAACAAACGGTTCATGACCGGACGAGGATGTGTTAGGGAAGGTGAATAACTTCATTTCATGCCCCCTCTCTCGCTGCGCTAAGATGCACTCAAATTAGATAAAACAAAGTAACACATATATTAGTGAGGATGTGTTAAAGGCACCTCAATTTTGTATTTTTGTTCCGGAAACGTTGAGTCGGGTACACTTAGAGCACGTTTGTTTACACTTTTGAAAAAAGTAATTTTTATCTCTTTCTTATTTTAGAAGTTTTTTTTACAAAAGTTAAAGCTATTTATATTTTTATAAAAATATTTAGATTTTGAAAAAAAAAATTGATTTTTGACTTCTACTTTTTTTAGAAGTTAAAATTTTTAGCTTCAGAAAAAAATAGATTTTTGTCTTTTTTGTGACTTATGTTTTTTTTAAAAGCAGACATCCAAACGAACTAAAAATGAAAAGTGCTTTTTTCAAAAAAAAAACAACTTCTAGAGAGAGAAAAAGCTCATCCAAACGGATTTTGCAAATAAGATAACTCATCTAAAGCTTGCTTCGAATAAGAAAAAAACATTTAATTAATAATAACTTACAAGCTTATAATCAAACATGTATTTAATAAAAAAAAACATGAACACATATGAGTATACTTCTAAGCAAATAGAGATAGGATAAATATATTATTTTTTTATATTTAATAAAAAATATACCAAATGTTTTAATACATCCATAATAATAAAGAAAATATTTTTCAGTTGAGACCAAGAGTTACATAAGTTTAGGTGTTGTTTGGTTGGGAGCTTTTCAGCGGATATCTATGTTTTTGAAGTATGGCTTTTAGAAACACCATGTTTGTTTCAACGTATTTTCACCAAAAACTCATCTATCCAATTTGTCTGGATTTATGAGAAACATAGATATCCGCACTGTTTAGAAACCCAATTTGAAGGTGGAATTTTTCGGAAAACCGGTTATCTAGCTTTTAATGCACTGTTGATTTCATAAAGTTATCTAATTTTCTCAGTAAAGTTTTTCCCCACCAAACTACTTTTTTTTACATTTGTCTAGCTATCTCACTTTATCTATCTTTCCCATCATTTCTCTATCTATTACATTTCCCTACTATTCCAAAAAAAAAATCGAAACCAAACGCCCCCATAGAATTTTGGATAGAGAAAATTCTGATCTAGCCATTTGCCCCGCAAATTAAGAAAGTAACAAACAAGTTGTAAAGATTAAAAAAACGGTATGAACAAATAAAAAATGGTTATTTTAGTTGGCGGTAAGCAACCAAGGGAAGACAACAAAGTCCAATAGTATCACCTGTCAGGTTCAGTTACCTAGGCCACTTTAGCCAGTTGTACATCCACTAAGTATTCATTAGTATATTTGAGGCACGTGAAAAACGACAGTTAGCGAAATGAATAAGGCTATACATCGGAACCGTGATCATTGTGCCACTGTTCCCACTGTTATTTACCTAAATGCCACGCAGCTGAACTTTTTTCCCAAACTGCCACGCGGGCTAGTTCGCTGGGAGTAGTAGCGAACTGTGTCAGTAAGCTGATGGTTCTCAAGTTCGCTTGTGTAAGCCGCGAACTTGGTTGATATAAAGCCTGCAACGTATTTTGAGTTCGCTGCCTACTCAAGCGACCTAGATGGCACGTGTCTGAACCCAGACAAGTTCGCTGGGGGCCAAGGCGACCTAGGTGCCACGTGGCAGTTCCCTAGAAGTCCGCTGCCTTGGTCAGCGAACTACTTGCCGACAGCTACAGGTCGCTGGGCCATAAAGCGAACTCAGTGTTATATTTAGACCCCCTTCCTGGATCAGTCATTCATTCTCGTTCGTTTTCAAAGGAAAATTTTCCATTTCTGTGTGTGAATTCTATTTTCAGTACATAATGAGTGAGAATAACAATGATGTAATATGCCTTCTATATTACAATGGGAAAAGATATTTTGGACCGAACGGTCAAGTGTTTGAAGGAGATACGAAGATCTTCCGCATGAGTCCGCGTTGCAAATATAATGAGCTCAAGAAAATAATATACAAGAAGTAGAGATTACAACGAGGTCAATCCTTGTCTCGACTGATTGTTAGATGTGCTTCTGGTAACCCCGTGCAATGGGTTGCTGTGGAGGTGGTTGAGGATGAAGATGTGTCACTAGTAGTTGATGCATTTCGACAGCATGGAGAGTCCTCATACATCGAGTTATATGCGGAACTAAACAACGATGGAGAGGCAAGCACTCAATGTTTCATCCCTACCAGTCACTCCATAGACATTAACAAAGAGCCGGAAGTAGATGCGGAAGATATGAATGTGTCACCCCCACCATCATCTCCCCCAATAACACAACCTTTAGATGTGATTCATGCCAATGAAGTAGATGATCCATCGGGGCGTACTGATAGTTCCAAGGAGGAGGTTGATGAAGGTCTAGTCCCTGACAGTGACTCGTCGGATACAGACGTTGATGGTGATTTCGAGTTGGAAACGTCCACTGCTTTGGTTGAACCGATTCCATCACCGGGTATTATTGGTGCGCATGACCCACCACCTGCTGCAGGTTAGGTAGTTTACCATTTGAGTTTTAAGATAGTTTACTGTTTCAGTTTAATTATATTTTTATGTACTTAACGACATTCGAAATGTGTGTTAAAAAGCAGTGGATAATGTTCCATTTTGGTCAGAAATACCACATTACACGCACATTAACTGGGCACACCCCGATCAAGAGTGTGATGACATGCAAGGGGCACAAGTACCAAATTGGCAAATAGGTCAAGAGCTTTATAAGGACCAGCAATTTGAAAGCAAGCAGGATGTACAAATGGCCATCAAACAGTATTGTATGGCAAAAAATCGCACAACTGTCGTACTAAAAAGTGATACGCAAAGGCTGATAATGATTTGTCAAAATCACAATGATGGTTGTCCGTGGAGGATGCGAGCATATCTGAAAAAAGGCGGTCATGAATGGATAATAGGCGTGTGGAACAACATCCATACGTGTGTATCTCAAACACTTTCACAGGATCACAAACAACTTAACTCTAGTTTCATTTGTGAATTGATCATCGGTAAGTCAACCATCTGGTAAATGTTTAAATTAATATTGTGAGTGTAACGCTAATACGTTGTTTGTCAAACCGCAAAAATGATACGTGAAGAGCCTAGTGTTAAAATTGGGTTAATACAGGAGAGGATTGCATCAAGTCTAGGATTTCATATATCATACAGAAAAGCCTGGAAATCAAAGCAGAAGGCGATTGTGAGGGTATTTGGGGATTGGGATGAGTCGTACGCGTTTCTGCCAAGATGGTTGGATTATATGTTATTGTTTTCTCCTGGGTTTGCCTATAAACTGGATGTGAATGAACATAGGATTGATGGTCGGCTCGATGGTTCGCACAAGGTGTTTAAAAGGGTTTTTTGGACATTCAAACAGTGTTGTGATGCCTTTAATTATTGCAAGCCTATGCTCCAAATCGATGGGACACATTTGTTGTGGGTTCTGTTGCTCCATGAATCTATTTACAAATAATAAATACAAAATTGATTAATAAATATATTAATTTTCAAGTTCAATTAATTATTCTATACTCCATAATTAATTACTAATAAATAAATACTAAAAATAAATACTAATTACTAAAAAATAATTAAATAAACACAAACATTGTGGTAAAAGAACTTTGTCACATTTATTTGTCAACCCTAAAACTAAATAATTTTATTTAATTCGGTTATTTTAATTATTGCATAATCTAAATTTTAGTAAATACAAAATCTAACAAAATTAAAATAATTCTTTTCTAACCTAGATGCCAAGACTATAAATAATATCAAACAATTAATATTATTAAATTATACATTAATAAAAAGTACTACACCTAATAACATTAACATACATATTATATAAGTCAATGTTCAAAGTTAACACAACTTATTTTTCAATCCTACAAATAAATTATTTTATTTAATTCAATATTATTATTTATTGCATAATTAACAACTTATTAACTACATAAATAGACACATTAACATATAAAAATATAACCTGACTAAGTCCTATTAATAAATAATGCATATAAAATAATTTATTAAATAGATTAATTAAACTATAAAATATTTAACTACTTAAATTAACATGCAATTACTAAACTATTAATATTAGAATAATTCAAATAATAAAATAAATAATATGTCATCTAACCTAATGTGTCATAACATTAATCATAAAAATTATCTTCTTCTAAAACCTATAAATGAATAACGCATATAAAACAATTTATTACATACATTAATTAAACAATATGTTATTTAACTACTAACATTAAAATGTAATTACTAAACTACTAATATTAAACTAATTAAAATAATAAAACAATTAAAATGTCATCTAACCTAATATTTTATGTTACATATAATATATTAAACAACAACTAACTAACAATAAACAAAAAATAAAAATTAATCAAATTATACATCACTAACCTCAAATGAAGACAAAAAGACCAAATGTGACAGCAAGAAAATTAAGAGAGAGAGAGAGAGAGAGAAAGAAAATGGGGAGGGGGACGCGTATGGAAGGGAAGAGGGTTTATATAGGGCGAAAAAGTATCCGTTGGGCACAGGTCGCCTGCGTGGGCAGCGACCTCGCTCATGCACGCCATGTGGCCTGGCTGGTCAGGCATTAATTGCAACAGAGGTCGCCTGCGTCAGTCGCGACCTCTCTTGCATGCACGCCACGTGGCCTGGCTGGTCAGGCATTAATTGCAACAGAGGTCGCCTGCGTCAGTCGCGAACTCTGACATCACTAGGAAGCTGACAGCTCAGCATTACGAGGTCGCTACTACTGCCAGCGAACTAGCCCGCGTGGCAGTTTGGGAAAAAAGTTCAGGTGCGTGGCATTTAGGTAAATAACAGTGGGAATAGTGGCACAATGGTCACTGTTCCGCTATACATCATCGTCAAAAAAATTTAATTATTACATTTTAATTAAATAATTATGTATTTATTACAATTTTGAAAATAATAATAATTGTTATTTTTAATTTAAATCACTAATCAAATTTTTATTTTGTTTTTCTTATTAATAATAATTGTTACTTTTAATTTAAATTACAAACCAAATTTTTTTTATAATAAAAATAAAAAATTTATTATTTAAATTAAATCACACATTAAATCTTGATTTATTTTTATATTAAATCACAAACGCAGAACTCAGAGGCTTCTGAGTTTAAAAATGTGAAACGTGTCAACACCTGACACGTCACCAATCACGTCTAAATTGAGTTTCAATCAAGAGACAATCACGCCTAATTTAGGTAATTTTATTTTTAAAAAAGATTCATAAGCCATCATTAATTTCAGACCACGGATAATAACCCAGAAGCTTATAGCATTAATCATTAATTTCAAAAATAATTTCCTTCTTCCTTAGAGATTTAGAATATTTATTTAATTATTTTCTTTATTTCTACAGATTTTTCAAATTGATTTTTTAGTTTAAATCACAAATCAAATCTTTATTTTGTTTTTCTTATTAATAATAATTTTTAATTTTAATTTAAATCACAAACCAAATTTTTGTTATAATAAAAAAAAGTATTATAAAAAAAATTAAATCACAAATCAAAATTTTATTTATTTTTTTATATTAAATCACAAACCCAGAACTCAGAGGCTTCTTGGTTTAACCGCTCTTGTACTAGCATTCTTGCAAATTAAAATTGTGTTTGTGAGAAATAAAATATATCAAATGAGATGTCATTGCGTAGATCTGGAAAAGTTATGTGGAATCAAAAAAAGAATTACCGGAATTGGATACCCGAGTCAAAAGTTATGGCCTTCAGAAGTTTTATGATTAAATTATTATTATTTTTGAAAAAAAAATGACACGTGTCAACCTTAGGTGAGAGACGCCTCATTGGGGCGTCTTTCCTCAGATGAGAGACGCCTAAATGAGGCGTCACATGTGACTCCCAACAAAAGCGTCACATCGTGCAATAGGTTCGTAATTATTTCCAAAATTGCAATAAATGCGTAATTATTTAATTAAAATGCAATAATTAAATTTTTTTTGCCCATCATCTCTTCATATTTTCATAATTTTTAATATTTAATTTTGGAATTAATTTTTTTCGTATTGTAAAAAATAATTTTAACTTCTATACATATATAAAAACATATGATAGCATGTGAATAGAAAAGAGAAAAATATATATATGTTCTATATATTTTTATGTGTATATATGAAATAAAATTATATTTTATAATATAAGAAATCCTAATCTCATTAATTTTAGTTTATTTTTAGGATTTTATAATTCTCAAGTTACATAATAATTAAAATTTTATGTTGTAAAGATAAAAAGTATGTGGGACCCATATATTAAAAAAAATTATGTGTATGATCCATATCAGCACTGAAATCGAAGATGTGTAGAAAAATTTCAATTCCCATGTTAAACGAAAATTATAAAATCCTTATTTTTAACACCATTATACTCTATTTTTACCGCTACGACGATTGAGGGATGTGAGGCTTACAAATGTGGGACATAGACGACATTATTATTGTGAATTAGTGTTACGATGATGTATTCCTCCGTCACTCATGCCAAGTATGTATAAGAATTTGGTAGTAAGAATTTAGGGGGCATTTGGTAGAAGAGAAAAAAAATTAACAGGAAAATGTAATTACTAGAGATATGGTAGAAAATGAAGTTTGGTAGGAAAATTAAAAAAAATTTGTTTGGTTAGCCAAAATTTTACCGGAGAAATTGGGTAGAATTTTATAAGTCTATGTTTGGTTGAAGGTAAAATATGGTGGAAAAATATAGTTAAATTACCACAACAATCCTTGACTAAAATAAAATAGGAAAATATGGTTTTAGTTTGCTGTAGTCTTCCCAAACATCAGGGTTATTTTGGTCTCCTTGCTTGCAATCCTTTTTGGATTTTCCCATCTATCAGCAAATACCACCTTATAGGTGGTATTATTCAACAGTGTTCTATACACACAAAAAGTAAATACTAGGCAAATGAGTTCCCTAGCAAAATTTTTAAAACATGATATCAAACATGGACATCCAAAAATATCATTTCCATTTACCTATCTATCCTTAACAAAATCTTCTACCAAACACACCCTTATAGCTCAATCTCCACAGGACAACGGGAGAAACGTTGGTCAATACTCACTATGCTGGATGGCCCAGATGTCTTGTTTCACTTTTGGAATCATATTTATATTATAGGAGGTGCTTGGTATAAGAGATATTTTTTTTACTGAATTTTTTTTCTGGGAATATGGTTAGAATTTTTTTTTAAGGTAAGTTACGAAAAGGTATTTGGTAGGTCCAAAATTTTCTCGAAAATGTAGAGTTAATTCTACTGATGCTATGGGAAAATAAAAATACCATATATCAGATGGTATTTTTGTTTGGGAATATGATGTGTAAAATAAAATAATGGAAAAAAAAATTCTCGAATTATTTTCAGTTTCCTCATACCAAATGTTAGAAACAAATTTGCCCCACCCCAAAAGAATAAATTAAACAAGATGATATTTTACTTTTTTATTTTATTTTATCAATTTCTATCGATTTGTTTATTGGTTTAATACGAATTATAAATGTTTATTGTTTATAACTTATGATAATAAATATTTCAATTTTATTAATATATCCACAAATCTTTCGAGAGTTTACATGAGTGAGAGATTCAAACTCTGCTTCAAGCAAATTTTTGAAAAAAAATTAGAGCCAGAGAACATGTCTCTCTCCTCGAATGAGGATTAGTCTCATCCTTTCTCCGGTGACAAAGCTTAATGCACCCGCTGTTTTAATGAGGGGTAACCTTCAGAGCCGTACTCCAAAGACAAAGTAAACGGAGAAAGTTGAATGGGGATGGATATCTCCAGGTTATACAAAAAAAAGGAGATTTGTTTTCATCAATTGAGGAAATTCCTAAGTACTCTTACTCTTACAATTAGGGGTGTAAATAGCTAGGCTAGGCTAGGCTAGGCTTTGGCTTAAATAAGCGAGCCTGTGTAAGAAACATTGTATCTGGCCTGACCTGTGAGTCCGTGTAGGTCCCAAATTACAAGTCTGACCTTACTTATATTTAAAAAATACAAGCATTGGCTAGGCCTGTTAGCCTGTTTAAGCCTATTAAACATTCAACAATTAAAAGAATAACTAAAATAATATTACTTTATTATTCAAAATAATAATTTTATTTATTTTATTAAAATAAATAATACGATATAGGACGGCCTGTAGGCTTATAGGCCCGACATGTACAAAATAAAGTATGGCCTGTTTTTTAAATATATTTTTTTAAAAGTCAGGCTTGTTCTATTTTACTATTTGTAATAGGCCAAATCTGATCTAATATAGGCTAGTCCGTAGGCCCCTGTAGACCGGCCTAACCTATTTACACCCCTACTTATAATCCTGTATTAATCTACTTAAAACATTGGTACATACAAGTATACATGTCATTGAGTTGTTTTTTTTTTTTAAATTTAACAAAATTACGATTAACTTTTAATCGTTCAAATATTATTTTTGAAATAGTCAAATATTACTTTTTGAATTCAATTACCAATATATTTATGGAATTTATACTTTTTATCCAATATGTTTGTTTTTTTCTCCTACAAACTCAACCAAAATGAGACTCATCAGGAGGGAGAGAGAAAAATGGCATCACGGGAATCGAAGAATCAGCAGAAAAGTATTGTATTATCATGTAGCATAAGAAGTATAAAGCCCTATATTTATATATAAATTTAAAATATTGTTTCTAAATTGAATAATTTTAAATTTAATTAGCAACATTCAAAATACATAGTGCTTTGTGGATACATTTAGGACATGTTTGGTGTGACGTATAAGACCTGATAGTATAAGCTTATACTATACGTTATGACATTTTCAGTTATTTGGTGTGACCATCGTATAGTATAAGCTTATACAGCATGATCTCTTTATACATCAAAATAATGTATAACTTAATCAAGCCTAATGGTGTAGTGCCTGTTTGGATCCTCTCTTTTTTAAGCTACAAGCTACTTATAAGCATAAGCTAGGCCAAACAGGTTTTGGGAAAAGCTCTTATAACGAAAAGCTCTTTTTTTTATAATGAAGAAAAAAGCTGAAAACTAAAAGCTCCTAGGAGGAGCTTTTTTTTAAGCTCTTATTTGTTTTTCTTGAATTGTGTGATTTTTTTTTTAAAATGGAAAGTGATAAAGATAGAAAGAGATAATTTTCTTGAAATATGTGCTTTTAAGTAATTTTTAAGCTAAAACTTTTATGTAATTTCCAAACAGCTTTTAGCTTATTTTTTTAAGCTCTTTTTTTTAGCTTTAGCTTATAAGTAGCTTCTAGCTTAAAAATAAGAGGATCCAAACAGGATTAGGCCTGATAAGGGGTTGATGTATTAATGTTGCTTAAAAGTACAATTCCCAAGAACTAATATATCATTTCAATATTAATATATTAAAATTATTTTATACAGGATTAATGTATTAATGTTGTACTATTAATATATTAAAAGTACAGTATTAATGTTGCTTAATCAAGCCTAAATTATCTTATACAATACCATATCAAACGCAGGATAGAATTAAAATTTAATCAGGTCTTATACAATCAGGTCTTATACTATTAGGTCTTATACTATTAGGCCTTATCTTATACAATGTACCAAACATGCCCTTAAACTTCTATCTATCATATTCTTCTGACATGGCAACCAACAGTCACAGTCTTTCGAAATATAACCCTATTTAATTATAAATAGTTTTAATTTTTAATAACCATGTTTTCTATTATTTTTCTTTTTTTTGTAAACATTTTTCTAGTATCTTTTATTGGGAAATTTTTTCTCATATTGTAGAGAAATTATTTTTTCCTACCAGTTACCTTTCGATTTTCATGCAATATATATATATATATATATATATATATATATATATATATATATTGTAAACAATATTAAATATATTTAATTCTTCAAGATAGTTTTTAAGCATTATTGTGAGTTACTAATTAATTTAAAAGTTTGACCCAATAAATTATAATCGTTGATTGACATAAATCAACGGTTAGGATCTAATATGACGCAAAGTTATATCTTTTAAAATGACAAATATTTTTCTCTAAATATAAATATAATTTTTAACATGACATGAAAAATCTTTGATTATTAAATAATTTTTAGATATATATCTTATTGTTTTGTAGTGATACTTCAAGGATTACGTTTTTTATCTTAAAATTTAAACAATCACTTTTAATGGCCACCAGTTGGATTAGTTATTAAGATTGTCGCACACTTCTTTAATTCATCTTTATTGTCAAGTCACCACCCCCGGTATCTGAATTAGCAGGAGAGCCGTTTGTTTTTGTGTGTAGGAGAAGTCACTCTGTTTGATTTCTGTTTTGGAAAACAGATTTTTAATTTTGAAAACAAATTTTTTTAAAAAATTGCTTGATAATGGTTATTTTATGAAAATAAATCTGAAAATTATATCTGTTTTAATTTTTAAAACTATAGATTTCTTTATCATACCAATGCGTTTTTTGAAATATTTCTCCAGTTTAATTCTTTAACCAAATGTGTTATCAGATTAATGTAGAAAAACACGTATTAGTTGCCTACGCGTATACGTGTGCGTATTACATGGCAGATAGATTGAAATGCGTATCTGATATTAACGTGATCAGACTTGACTGATGTGATCAGATTGGACAAACTGAAACACACACCTAGTACTAAAGTGTCTATACGCGCACCTAGTACTAAAATGTCTATACGCGCACTTGATATGGATATGTCTAAATGTGCACATGGTATTATCATGTCTAGACGTATGTTACAGGCATATGTGCGTGAAACCAACATATATTAGATGCGTATCTATCTGATACGCATCTTCTTACATTAGTTGAGTAATACTTTGGTTAAAGAATTAAATTGGGAGAATATTTTAAAAAACACATTTGTGAAGTCAAAAAACCAAAACTAGAACATCTCATAGATATTTTTGTTCTTTCTTTGGGTTTTGACTCTGAAACATGGTAAAACACAGAGAGCTGTTTTTTCATTAATGACAACATAATAAATATGGGGAATGCATTTGTACTGTTGTAGGAAAAAAAAAAATTTGTCCCACAGAGAGAACATTTTGAGAGAGAAAAAAAACAATGAATGGGTCCCATGATAAATTGTCTCTGTAGGAAAAACGAAAAAAATCCTGTAACATTAACGATTGATTACCCTATGAATATATAAGAATTGAAAACAATAGAAATTTGAAGAGCATTTTGTGTCTCTCAGTGCCTAAACAGGAAAAAGACTGCTTTTTGCATCCACTCTCTTTAAACAGATTTTATTGTTCTTCAATTTTTAAAATTATTTTCAAAACATTGTCATCAAACAAGTTTTTTTTTGTTTATTCTACAAAACAATTTTTAAAAATTGATCTACAAAATGGTTCTAAGAAAGAAAAAAAATTA